CTGACCACCGCACTGACCACCGCGATGACGTCACTGACCCCCGCACTGACCACCACCCCCTCCCCCCCCCCTGCCACTGCCCCTGCTCCCCCTCCCCTCCCCCACTGTCCGGCACCCCCTGCTGCCCCGCCCACCGCGGCCTGGCCCAGCTGACCGTCCGAATCCTGGGCGGCCGCGACTGGCGCGGCGACCCCTTGACCGCCACGGACGCCTACGTGGTGGTCATCTACTCCGGCCACCGCCAGCGCACCTCCACGGCCTGGAACACCGACCGGCCGCGCTGGACTGACCGCTTGGACTTCGGCCACGTCCGGCTCCACCCCGGAGCCCACCTGGAGCTCCAGGTGTGGGATGAAGACCACGGGTGGGACGATGACCGCTTGGGGACCTGCGTCCGGCCGCTGACCGCCGGCGTCCGGCCGCTGCTGACGTGTTTCAGCGGCGGTGGACGTTTGGACTTCGGAGTGACCGTCAGGTGCGGTCCGGTTTTGGCCGGGCCGTGGTGTCACGATTACGTTCCGGCCGCTCCCGAGGGCGGGGCCGGTGTCCAGGAGGGGTCGGAGTGGCCACCGAAGGGGCCGGAGTGGCCGGAGTTTGGAGTGGACGATGAGGAAAGGGAGGAGGAGGAGGAGGAGTTGGAGGAGACCAAGGTTTTCCATCGGTTCTGGGAGGTTCCGGAAGGTTCTGAGGTTCTGGGGCGTTCTGAGGAGGTTCTGGAAGGTTCTGAGGAGGTTCCAGAAGGTTCTAGGGAGGTTCCAGAAGGTTCTGAGGAGGTTCCAGAAGGTTCTGAGGAGGTTCCGGAAGGTTCTGAGGAGGTTCTGCACGGTTCTGAGAAGGTTCCAGAAGGTTCTGAGGAGGTTCTGGAAGGTTCTGAGGAGGTTCTGCACGGTTCTAAGGAGGTTCCAGAAGGTTCTGAGGAGGTTCCAGAAGGTTCTGAGGTTCTGGGGCGTTCTGAGGAGGTTCTGGAAGGTTCTGAGAAGGTTCCAGAAGGTTCTGAGGAGGTTCCAGAAGGTTCTGAGGAGGTTCCGGAAGGTTCTGAGGAGGTTCTGGAAGGTTCTAAGAAGATTCTGAAAGGTTCTGGGGAGGTTCTGGAAGGTTCTGGGGAGGTTCTGGAAGGTTCTGGGGGGGTTCTGGAAGGTTCTAGGGAGGTTCCAGAAGGTTCTGAAGAGGTTCTGGAAGGTTCTGGGGAGGTTTCAGAAGGTTCTAAGAAGATTCTGGAAGGTTCTGGGGAGGTTTTGGAAGGTTCTGAGAAGGTTCCAGAAGGTTCTGAGAAGGTTCTGGAGCGTTCTGAGGGGGTTCTGGAAGGTTCTGGGGAGATTCTGGAAGGTTCCAAGGAGGCTCCAGAAGGTTCTAAGGAGGTTCTGGAAGGTTCCGAGGAGGTTCCAGAAAGTTCTGAGGTTCCAGAAGGTTCTAAGAAGGTTCTAGAAGGTTCTGAGGGGGTTCTGGAAGGTTCTAAGGAGTTTCCAGAAGGTTCTAAGGAGGTTTTAGAAGGTTCTGAGAAGGTTCTGGAAGGTTCCGGGGAGGTTCCAGAAGGTTCTGAGGTTCTGGAAGGTTCCGGGGAGGTTCCGGAAGGTTCCGAGGAGTTTCCAGAAGATCCCAAAAACCCCAAATCCGACCCAATTTTGGGGCCTCCAAAACCCGAAACGGGACCCCAAAAACGACCCCAAAAACCCCAGAAACGACCCCAAAAACGCTCCCAGTTTGGACCAGTCTGGACCAGTCTGGACCAGTTTGAGGATGATGAAGATGAGGAAGAGCTCAGCGACGCCGAATTTTGGAGACTTTGGGACCTGGCCCAGGACGACCCAAAAAATCCCGAATTTGACCCAATTTGGGACAATCCCGAATCCTAAACGGGAACCCCCAGAAACGCTCCCAGTTTGGACCAGTTTGGACCAGTTTGGACCAGTTTGAGGATGAAGAAAATCCCAAAAAACCCCAAATTTGACCCAATTTTGGGACAATCCCAAAACCCCAAAAACGACCCCAAAACCCCCAA